ACCCTAATCTCTCACTTACACAATATACCCTCAAATCAACCCGTAATCGCAACCTAAAGAGACTACATATACACAGTATCTCTACCCGAAGAAAAGCCCTATTCTTCTACCCACAATTTACACCATTGTGACCTGATTACAAGATTTGAAGAGGGCCTAAAAAATTGAAGAACCCTAACAGAGTCGAATAACACGAGAGAGAAAGATTTGTTTTACTGTGCAGATCTCTCAATACTCAATTTTATATAGTTTGACTTGCTAGACTATTGAAGGCCGTTGGATCATGTCGGAATCAACGGCTGAGATTACTCACTGAAGTGAACTCCAAAACAATAGCGTATAGATAGAAGCAAAACGACATCGTTTAAAGCTTCACTCAACAGAAAGTTTATGGGTGAAAAAGTGTAATTAAAGCATTATTTGGGCAGGAAAAAGTCGTTAACTTATATTTAAATAATAATGTAAAACCCCATTTCTAATTTAGTAACTGCATGAATTTTATTTAGTTATTTACTTCCCTTTCTATTTGATTTTATGGTATTGTTTTAAGAAAGGGGTATTTCTATTAGTTTTTAAAGTTTGTGTTAACGGGTGAAAACAAAGAAATAAATTATGATGGGTTTGCATGTATCAAGAGGGAAAAATCTGGACACTTTTTCTAGGAGAAGCTTATGTGGCAGCGTTAGGCTAGAATTAAGAGAAATTGGGGGGCAGATTTAAAATTTAAAAAAAAAAAAAGGGTAAAGACTTTTGTTTAAAAAAAGAAAGAAATGGGTTGTTCGCCCAAATAAAGAAAGAGATGAGAGCAGAGGAAGAAAGCGAGAGCAGAGCAGAAAAAGACAAAGGAGAGGAGAAGAGAAGAAAGGAAAGAAATGAAGAAAAGAGAGGCAAAGGAGAGAAAGGAGAGTAAGGAAGAAGAGTGGAGACTAAGAGGTAAAGTGAGAGAGGAGGAGTGAGAGTGAAATGTAGCAAAGATTAGGGAGAGAATTTTGAAGCAGATCACTCCAAAATCTGGGTTCGGGTAGTGCATGCATAGGGTTAGGAAGCTTTTTCTTAAATTATTTCTTCTTGCTTTAAGAGTAAGTGTTTGATCTTGAGTTTTTGGGTGTAGGTACGGAAGAGAAGAGTGCTTGACAGTTTATTGAGTTTCGGCTGAGCTGAATTTGTGAGTGGATCAACAAAAACTTATTTTCTAAAAGCTTGATTCCTTGTTACATGCAATGTGTTGAATTTATTGTGGTGTCTCTGCATAAATCTTGATGTGTGTGATACAAAATTTCGCTTCAATTGTTCGGTGGGTTTAAGTTTATGTTTTGTATATTCAATTTAGTTTTTTTTTTTTTTTCTATTTTTTAAGCTGAATACTTGATGAAAAACTGGAATTTTGGTTAAACGTTATGCTAATTTGAATTGCATGTGTTGCCTTAACAAAAAGAGAAGCTTGCATGTTGGTTGATCTAGCCAAAAACATTAGTGGAAAACTGGAAAAGTGGGTGTCTTGTTATGCAATAATCTGACTTTTAATCTAAGTTAAACTGTTAGTTGTTCAACATGTTTGAAAATTTGCAATTTCACCCTGAGAAGTGATTTTGTTAACTATTATGTTAACATGCAGAATTTTTAAGCCAATATGTGATATGTTCATGAGTGATATGTTCATGAGTGATATGTCAGTTGACAATATGCATGAGATTTTTTTGTAGTTCTATAGCCACCCTACAAAGTACACATCCCCTAGTGATACATATTTTGGCTCTACACATGCGTATGACAGTCATCAGTGCTCTACCTAGGCATCGACTGGTCTGTTATGTATGACAGTTTTAGAGGCTCTGCTCGTGCGATGATAGATCTTGCCAGGTATGACAGGTACGTCCCTCGCTCTACCTACGTATGGGATACCCACCAGGTATGACATATTTTTTTTTTTTTTCCAAAGTACTAGTTGTGGTGAGAGTTTCTAATACCAAATGTTGAGGTTTTATTCAGAATCCGATACAGTTAAAGGAAGTAAGTCAAAGTACAGTTTACTGAGTGCAGGATGGTTAGAAATAAATCACATAATGCATACGTGAATGGGGTGGTTGTTTCCATTGCATATTTATAGAATTGTATTGTCATTAGGATTTACTTAAGAATTGTAGTATGTTATTATTATTTATTTTTCTAGAACTTTTATAAACCTGCCATTCCCCCACTCACTGAGTATTTCAGCTCACCCCTTTTTAACTATTTTCCCCCCTCACCAGGACCTCCCGGAGATCGTGTCGAGCAGTGAGTCTCAGCTCAGGGTTGTGCCACACGTCGACATCTTTTTATGTGGGTTTTATATTTTATTTCGTATTTGTATTTTGGACTTCCACTTCAAGAACTCATGTTTCCCATCATGTATTTCCTTTATTTATATTTTGAAATGTGTAGTATAAGTGGAAAAACATGATACCATAAGTTTCCCTAAATCTTTTCTTTTATAAAACGATAGATGGTGTTTTTTTTTTTAAAGATATTGGAAATGGAAATACTATGATGTTATTCAGGAAAAGTAAGTCGTTTTAATAGTTTTTACAGTTTATCTACATGGCAGGTCTCGGGTATCCGAGTCTTGTGAGAGTGCTCGGATCCTACGGAATGAGAAAATTTGAGACGGATCGTGTCAAATAAGGTTGATATTAAATGGAGGTATGAATAGAGTAGTTTATAACTTGATAGTATAACAATTTGTAAAAGTGACATCATAATATTATATAATATAAGACTCAATTTGAAATGGGGAAGGGTTTAGAAGATTGCTCGTTGAATTGGGTTTTAGCTTTTAGGAGGGCTTATGGTTTCCTATTCCTTTTATGGTTGGACAAAACTAAATATTTCATCTTTCAACCTTTGACATGTAATTAAAAAGTAAATTTTAAATTATTATAATTGCCTTTATCTATCAAATTCTATATATATAACAACAACAACAATAATAATAATAACAATAAGATACATATTTTTATTTCTTTCTTTCTTATTATTTTATAAAGCTTAGTATGAAAATTTATTGATAAAATTGTAAAAATAAATGTAAATGAAAATGAAAAAAGACTATGACTAAAGGAAAGTATTGAAGGAGCTTCATTGGTTGCGGAGCTCCCTCGTGTTTGTTCTTCGGGCAATTCGGGTCGAATTTTTCTCCTCAACGTCTTAGAAGTGGGTCAAAAGTACGAAGCGAAGACGACCTAAGTAATCGGGTTTGTTGAGAGTTTAAGCTTTCAACAAGATGAGTTGTATTAAGCTTTATGAAGAAGAAGAAGATGAGCTGAGAAGAAGAGAGAGAATGAAGAATAAACTGCTTTCTTTTTATTATTTGAAGAATAAAATAGAAGCAGACAAGCAGACTATATATAGTCACTATTACAATGGATTAGTTATAACATAAAATGTAATTAGTGAAGCTAACTAACTAATCTGTAACTAATCTGAAGATTAACAACTAATCAGTATTTACAATATTTACACACCGTAATACTCCCCCTCAAGGTGGCTGGTAAATGTCTTTTACAGCCATCTTGGACAACAAAGAAAAAAACTAAGTAGAAGGAAGGGGTTTAGTAAACAGGTCAACCAATTGGTATTGAGAACGAATGGGCAGCAATTTGAGAACTCCCGAAGCAACTTTTTCATGAACAAAATGGCAATCTATTTCGATATGCTTAGTGCATTCATGAAAGGTTGGATTAGAGGCAATATGTATCAAAACTTGATTGTCACAATATAGCAAAGCAGGACAAGCAACTGTGACTTGAAAATCTTGAAGAAGTTGCTGCAACCAGATGAGCTCACTGGCAGTAGAGGAAAGAGCTCGATACTCAGCTTCAGTTGATGATTGAGAGATGGTGGTCTGCTTTTTGGCCTTCCAAGAGACTAAAGAGTCTCCAATAAAGATGCAAAAACTTGTAACGGAGCGACGAGAATCAGGACATGATCCCCAATCAGCATCAGAGAATGCTTTAAGATGTAAGGAAGAATGAGATGAAAACAACAACCCTTGGCGAGGACTGTTCTTGAGATAACGAAGTAGATGATGCACCGCCTTAAGATGAGGAAGGCGAGGTTAGGCCAAGAATTGAGTGAGCTTGTGAACTGCAAACGTGATATCTGGGCGCGACAAAGTGAGGTAAAGAAGTTTCTTAATAAGCCGTCTATAGTGTGTAATATCATAAAGCAATTCACCTTCAGTAGCAGTCAAACTGAGTTTTGGATCCATGGGAACAACAGTGGGTTTACAAGCCAAGTAACCAGAGTCCTCAAGCAATTGTAAGGTGTAATGACGTTGAGAAAGTGCAATACCCTATTTGGACTGAGCAATCTCAAGACCAAGGAAGAACTTGAGACCACCAAGATCCTTTAGCTTAAACTGTGTATGCAGAAACTGTTTGAGCTCATCAATAGCTTGAGGTGAAGGACTAGTAAGGATGATATCATCCACATAAACGAGAAGAGCAATAAACGAGGACCCATGACTCTTTGTAAAGAGAGAATAACCGAACTTGGACTGAAGAAAGCCAAACTTGATCAAGGCTTGAGAAAATTTTGAATACCATTGTCTCGAAGCTTGCTTGAGACCATAAATTGACTTTTGAAGCTTACATACTAGTTTGCCTTGAGATGGAGAAGACTCCCCTATCTAGGATAGCCTAGAGGGAGATCCATATAGACTTCCTTAAGAAGATCGCCATTTAAAAAAACATTATTGACATCGAATTGGGCTAGATGCCAATTATTGGAGGCAGCAAGGGCAAGAAGAAACTTTACAGTCCCTAATTTGGCTACTTGAGAAAAAGTGTCAATAAAGTCCAAACCTTCTTGTTGTGTATAGCCTTTAGCTACCAAACGAGCCTTATGTCGCTTAATAGATCCATCCGATTTGAGTTTGATCTTATAAATCCATTTGCAGTAGATGGTATGTTTGTCATGAGGAAGAGAAGTGATAGTCCAGGTGTTATTTTCCTCCATAGCTTTTAACTCTTCAGCATAGCCAATCTCCATTCAGGAAACTTCACGGCTTGGTGATAGTATTGAGGCTCAACCTGAGAAGATACACTGAGCAAAAACTGCCTGTGGAAATCCGAAAGGCCATGATAAGATATATAGTTAGAGATTGGATAATATGCAGAAGTGGAAGCAGGAGTAGAAGAACCAACAAGCAAATTGCAGTGGTAATCCTTCAAGTAATGAGGTTGATGAATCATCCTGGTAGATTTGCGAAGAACAACACCAGTAGATGAAGAATCAGTTGCTGGAGTATCATTTATTGGAATATTGGCTGCTGAAGTAGAAGTATCACCAGAGGGAACAAGTGGATCATGAACAGGTGAGGAATCAAGATCTGAAATAAAAAGAGCCTATAATGAAGAATGGGGCAGAACTAAATCTGGAAACAGATCAAGAACCTGATCGGAACTAGTAATAGCATGAAAAGGAAATACTTCCTCATGAAACAACGCATTGCGGGAAAGAAACACTTGTTTGGTTTCTACATCATAGAACTTATAACCTTTCACACCAGGCAGATAGCCAAGGAAAGCACAAACTCGAGCACGAGGTTGGAACTTGGTTCGATGAGTAGCTAAAGTGGAAACAAATGCTAAACAACCAAAGACTCAAAAAACAGTGTAATCGGGAGCTGTTTTGTATAGCAACTGAAAAGTTGTGTTGTGTCTCAATAGTGGGGAAAGAGTTCTGTTAATCAAGAAAGCCGCCGTAAGAACACAATCTGTCCAAAAAGAAACTGGAATCCTGGATTGAAAAAACAATGACCGAGCCACATTCAATAAGTGCTGATGTTTGCGTTCTACAACTGAGTTTTGTTGAGGTTTTTCAACACATGAAAACTGATGCAAAACACCCTGATCTTGAAAAAACTCAGCAAAAGATAACTCAGGTGCATTATCAGATCGAAACACCTTGATTTTGGCATTAAACTGAGTTGAAACCATGTTGAAAAACTTTGGTATCACAGAGACAGCATCAGACTTATTCTTCAACAAATATACCCAATTGAACCGAGTGCAATCATCAACAAGAGTCAAGAAAAACCGATGACCAGTATAAGAAACAGTTGGATATGGCCCCCAAATATCACAGTGCACAAGATCAAAAGGAAATTTGGACAAATGATTATTTGATTCAAAAGGTCTTGCAAATATAACAAGGATCCACCTTATGTAATCTAGTTACATCACATTTCAATTGATCTTTCAAAGAATCAAGTCTCTTAAAAGAAACATGTCCTAATCTGTTATGCCAAATGTGAGCAGAAACATTATTGACAAAAACATTGGAATTAGAATTCAAACAATGAAGATTAAGAATATAGAGATCTTGAACTTTGTCTCCCCTGCCAATCATCCTCTTGGTGGATAGATCCTGGATAACAAAGCAGTTAGGGAGAAAACTCACTGTAAGGGCAGATCCAATTACTAAAGCACTGACTGAGATCAAGTTGAATTTGAATTGAGGAACAAACAGTACATCCTTAAGCACAAGATCAGAATGCAATTTAACATCACTAGCAAAATGAACCAAAATCTGAGAATGATTTGGCAAAGTAACTGTCGTGTGATGAATAGAATGCAGGGAAACAAAAGCACTAGCTTGTGAACAAATATGTCGAGTAGCTCCTGAGTCTACAATCCAGAACTGATTGGAGGAAAATAAAGGACTCAGAGAGACAGAGAAGCAAATACCTGCTAGACAGTTGGTTTGAGCAGGATCAGGAGCATTGGTGACCTTTGCTGAGCTACTCAAATGTGTAGAAAGCATGGACATTAGCTACTGATATTGATCGGAGTTCAGATTCTGTACAAAACCTCCAAAAGAATTAGAGTGATCTGATTTATTATCAGTAGTAGAAACTTGATGAGCAGCTGCAATATAATTGTTGTTAGATCTGAATTTATAGCCAGGAGGATATCCATGTATCTTGTAGCAATGATCCACAGTATGTCCAAGAATCTTGCAATGTGTGCAATAAGGCCTATCTCTTTTCTGATTCTTAGGAACAGTGAAATTAGAATTCTAAGAATATTTAGAACTAAGACCACCAGACTTAGCTACATCTGTTTTAACAGCAAATGCCATTGTGCCAATAGAATTGCTCGAATCAGAGGAAGGATTGGTTCTCCTTTGCTGTTCCTCTTGAACAATAAGAGAGAAAACACGATTAATAGGAGGCATCGGATCCATGAGAAGCAACTGACCACGAACTTGAGAGAAAGAATCATCAAGTCCCATTAAGAAAGACATTATGTACTCCATTTGATGATGATTGTTAAGATTTTTAACTCCATCACAAATGCACTTTCCACAAGAACAATTAGGCCGGTAATTACTCAATTCTTCCTATATAGTTTTCAGCTTTGTGAAGTAAACGCTAACAGAACTCTGTTCTTGACGCAGATTCATCAATTCACGTTTAAGTTGAAAAATTATAGGTCCATTCCTCTGCTGAAAACGATCCTTAAGATCTAGCCAAATCTCTCAGGCAAAAGAAGCAAAAATAATACTGGCAGAAATTTCCTTTGAAACCGAATTTAAGATCCAAGATATAACAATATTATTATTGCGAGTCCAGGAATTAAGTAGATTATTGTCAGTACCTTTAGGGTCAGAAATAGAGCCATCAACAAATCCCTCTTTGTTCTTCACAGATAGGGCAATCAACATCGCGCGACTCCAATTGGTGTAATTCTCATCAGTGAGCTGTTGCGAGACAAGCACTTGCCCAGGGTTGTCAGAATGATGAAGATAGTAAGGATTGGAAGGTTCATCAATGGCAGAATGATTCGAATTTGTACGCTCTTCAGAATTGGAATCATCGGCGTTCGAGGACAGAGTGGCCATATTGACAAAGGCAAGAACAATCAGCGTAGAAGGGAAAAAAACAAGCAAATTTGCAACGGATCAAATATGCTCTGATACCATATTAAGCTTCGTGAAGAAGAAGATGATGAGCTGAGAAGAAGAGAGAGAATGAAGAATAAACTGCTTTCTTTTTATTATTTGAAGAATAAAATAGAAGCAGACAAGTAGACTATATATAGTCACTATTACAATGGATTAGTTATAACATAAAATGTAATTAGTGAAGCTAACTAACTAACTAATCTGTAACTAATCTAAAGATTAACAACTAATCAGTATTTACAATATTTACAAGAGTAATGCTATGCTTACTCACAATCTTACTAACAATAGTACGATGTTGGAAAATATAACGGCATAGTACGGGTACCATACGCATAGTACCCATACTATGCCAGGATGGTTAGTAAGATTGTGAGTAAGCATAGTTTTATTGTATTTACAAACCGTAATAAGTTGTCCAAAGAAGAGGACGTTTTAAATATAGGCGTTCAAGCACCGGGCCATGGTGGATCCGAAGTACGCAGAGAAGACGTGGAAGATTTTGGAGCATGTGATTCACGAGATTTACAATAACAACGCTAATGGACTTAGCTTTGAAGAGCTTTATAGGTCTATTTCTCAGCTTTTTGTGTGATGAAAATTTGTGCTTTATGTGTCAACTGTTACTGGGAATTGATTTTAATTTTTCAGAGATTGATTGTTTATTCATTGTATGTTAAGTGTTTTTGAGTTGATTTGTTGATTTTGCAAATGGGTTTTTGGTTTTGTAGGTGTTGTTGTTTGGAGATTGTGAATAGCTTTGAATTTGAACTATTGGGTTGTGAAGAATGTATGGTGTTACAGAGAAGTTCATTATAATTGGTTGAGATGTATTGTTTGTGTTGAGGGGCTCTTTCTTTTGCATGATTATGTTTTTTGGGAATTGCAATGGTAAGAGTGTGATTAGTTAGGCTGATTACTGAAATTTTGTCAGTTTCTTTCAGTTTTAGCAATCATGTGGCGATCAGTGAGGTGCAAGATAGAGGATTAAGTCTATATAATACTGGGAAAGCAGCTCTATTGACTATTATGTTTCGTCTGTTTACCTCGTGGAAATTGGGTTTTGGAGAACTATCTTCTCTTGTAATTCTGTGATAATAAGAGACAGGTAACTTGTTCAAGAATATTGCCGTGTGTGTACTCAGCTAGATGTATTTCTGTTTCTTTTTTCCTTTTATCTCTTGTTTTCTCCTTGATCTATTACTTATTCCCACTATATTAGTTCAATAATATTTTGGGTACTAACTAATCAGTGTACGGGTACCATACGTATAGTACGTGTATCATACGCATAGTACGGATACCATTTATAATTTTAACAAAAATTAGTATACTAGTTAGTAAAATCCGTTAGTACGTATAACATTTCCCATATTAGTTACCCTAAAATCACAGGTTATAATTCTCATTCTTATTGGAATTGCATGTGTTGGTTTATACAAGTCATAAACTGAACTTTTAAAGGGTAATGATTGAAATTGTTTGGATAGAATACTTATTTTTCTGGGAAAAGTAACTTTGCCTTACTAATCAATAGTTTATATCCTTGCTGTATCTCTTTCTCTCTCTTCATTATTGTACCCGGAGAATTAGACTTGCAATTGATTATGGTGCCGTTTTATTACCTTTAAAATGTTAGTGGATGTTTATTGATTATTTATCATATTGTTGATTTTGGGATCGATTTGGAAGTTTTATTTCTTCCTCTTTGTCTGTTTTCCCTCATTTGACTGGTTTATTCTTGAAAACTAGTGAATTCTGTATTACTGAATGTGTATATCAATTTCCTGTTGTTGGAAGTAATTTGTTTTGCTCTTTGCTTGACTCCTTGGATGGTTTGGCTTATATTTTCTTCAATTGTTAGTGCCTATAGTTTCAAGAATTCTTTCGATGTTTATGTAAATTCTGTTTAGTGACATCTGATATTTAGTCGGCATGATTCTTTTTAACTAATGCTTCTGATGTTCACGTACCTCATCATATCCAGGAATGCTTACAATATGGTGTTGCACAAATTCGGTAAAGAAACTCTACTCTGGACTTGTGACCACAATGACTTTTCATCTAACAGAAATATGCAATTTTTTAAACAAGAACAACAAATGAAGGCTGTAAAATTAATGAATTAGTAAACTAATAAAAAAGAAAATATACCAACATCCACTAAATAATTATTGGAGAACCAATAAGTGAAGAAAAAGGAAAAAAAGAATGTAAAGGTTGGGCATAGTCCAAGGTTCAATCTTCATCGCCATCACCGCCAGCACCCTTCTTGGCGGCTGTCTTTTGGTTCTTTCGCTTCACTCTTCCAGGGCGGCCAGTTCCCCCGAAGGGACTTGTGAGAGAAAATTGAATATGCTTTTGGGAGTCCATTCTCACCATGAACGATGGAATGTTCACCACCTGCCTCCCCACACTGCCAAATACAAAACCAAATAAATTTTGAAACAAAATTCATTCATTCGGAAGAAATTCTAACAATTTTTATCTGACATGCTTCTGCTTGATGAGGACATCGCATGGTGAATCGACTTAGCCATGCTGTTCTTGTAGACGATGGTTTGAAGGCGACGCTCGAGGAAGTTCTCAACGGTAAGGGCCAAGACATAATCGAGCTGTTTCTGGCTCTCGTCCAAAGCCCATACCGTTCATTCTGCGGAGAAGGGCTTGACCTTCGAAAAGCCGGAGGGTTTTTCTCACCAAAGAGAAGGTGCCTTGCAGCTTTGCGAATGCGGCTCAATGTGTATGTAACCCTCAGTAACTCCCTTTTACACCGGAGCCCGTACTGCCCACCCGCCGCAGCTCTGCATCTAATCGCTCCTTCTCATACGGACGACGTGCTTCTTGAATGTCTTCCCTCTTAACCATCAACATTACACAAATAAATTAATATCAATCCAAAAATCGAAAATGAAAGAACAAATATGTAATGGTGAGAGTGAATATGAGAGTTGAAAGTTGAAAGAGAGATCTTACAGTTCGGTAGAAAGGGACGTGAACCATGGCTTCCTCCAATGAACGAGGGAAGATTGAGAAAGATGATCTCTTTAATCTATGGTCCCTGACTTGATTCAACTATGATCCCGATAAATGGAATATAGTTATTATATCTTAAATAACTTATTCAAATTTCAACCTATGATCCCAAATATGATAAAATAAGAATCGAGAAAGTTGTATTTTTCTATATTACGTTTCTTTGTGAAAATGCTATATATATACACATAACAGATCAAATCATAATCTGATAAGTAAGGAAAAAAAATAAATCTCAACAAATTTCCTTGAAAGAAGGGATTACAAATTCCTAAATATGTGTGCAGTAGATTATCTTCAAAACTAATTTTAATCAAATCTCAACAAATCTTAACACTCCCAGCATGTATATTCCTAAATATGTGCAACGAGATTATCTCCAAAACTAACAATATGTGTAGGAGAGTTATCTCCAAAACTAACGTCAATCAAATCTCAACAAATCTTAACAATATACCACTAGAGCGATGAATGATTGGCTAAAGTACCTCAAAAGTAGATATAAAATTTGGGCCAATAATGGTGTTAAGTTTAATCAAAGGCCTCGTTGATTGAATACTGGGCCAATGTTGTGTTGAAATTGCACCGGATAATGTGTAATCTAAAATTCATATCCTAATTTGGAATTAACGATTAAAATTAATGCACATAATTAATTATTTACCATTATCATCCCCATGCCTTACCAAATTGCAGTTGCATCAAGAACTACTTGAATTCTCAACGAAGCCCAGGAACATTGTCTTGAGGTTAAGGGTTATTTGATTGGAGTCTAAAGTTGATAGGCGAGGAGCAGAGGCAAGCAGTTCTGGTGAGCCTTACTCTTT